CTTCTTCTATTTCTCCTAATGAATATCTTATTTAAGAAACTCATCCATATCCGTGGCTTTTTTTTTCTTCTTCATCTACATATATTGTTTAGAAGCACAGTGCACATATGAAGTTAACATCTATCACCACTTTACTAATGATGATGAATTTTTGACCGGACCGAATATTCAAATCGCCAGGATTCCTGAGAAGCCAATGGTCCTTTTAGAAGATTCAGTAGAAAAGTTTATGACTGTTATAAAAGTATAGACACATCCCATGGCGGAATATACTAGAACATCCCTAATACGAACACCAATATATCTTGTTATAGTGGTGGATATTATCAAGGCGCTAATATATGATCTTGCCAAAGATGTTAAAGATGTTGCTGGAATCATTATTGATCAAATGAGTCCTTCTGATCAGCTTTCGATCCTATTATCTACTTTTGAAGGTCATATATATTTCCTTCTGCGTACAATGATCGAGGAAGAAAAGAAAGCTGCCAAACAAAGTGTTAACACAATTATCTTTTTCGATGGTCAAACAGATTGAGCCGAACTTCTGAGGATGGCAGGTCAGGTTCTTTGCGTAAGAGAAGATCATAATAAAGTGACATTTGTTATTCTAATGTCTTATTTGAAACAAGAAGATTACACAAGCAATATTGTATACTGCAACAATAAATCATATTGGATTTATGCATTTGGCATTGGTTAATCGTACGAGCCAACTAAGTTGTGTGCTCTATGGTCAACTACAGGCGGAATGTGTACGGGTGTGTTTCTTTAACCTTGAGTTTTCGGAATCTACTGCCAACACTGTAGATGCCAAAAGACCCGCAAAACTACCCCTATGTCCGACCAGTTCTGACCTAGTTTTTTATTTTGAAGACTAGGTTATAGCACTGTTTGCTCATGGTTTCTCCTCCACTCATTCACTCAAATTCGATTTCAAGCCCCTTTACTCATTTTGCCATGGTCGTTCGTCTTGAGAAAATAGAAAGGAAAATTGTCGGCAATTTTTTTTACCTTACTTATGTAAAGATTTTTCTGCGTGAGGAGAAGGTAGATCTGAATTTCACCATATTTCACCATTTCTTGATATGGTGGATGGCTGCAGTAAAAAAAATAATTGAGCAAAAAAAGAAAAATAAGAAGATGGGAGAAGGAAGAAGATGATGGAGAGAAGGGGCAGCCTAAAAAGAAATTAGGGTGGAAAAAAAAGAAGAAGGAAGAGAAAAATGTGAAAAAAAAAAAGACAAAAATGTGGAGGGGAGAAAGGGAGGCTGACACTGTAAGAGAGAAGGAAGAAGAAGAATGCTTCGATATGTGGCCGTACAAAACTGTAGAAATTGTTATTTTAACTTTATATTTTTTATTTAAAATTATATATTATAAAATAAAAAATTAATAATAATTTTTTTTTGGAAAATAAATTTTTAAAAATATTTCTTTATATATATATTTTTTATTTTCAAAATAAAATTAATAAATTCACATATTACACTTTTAAATCAACAAAATCGTTATCTATCAAATCAATATCCATAAAAATTCCTCAAATCCAAACCAAATCTATAAACCTAAAGAAACACAAAAATCCAAACTCATCTTAAAATTCAAACTCAAATCCAATTTCTCCAAACTTCAACAAAAGAAACACACTCAACGTATTTGGATACGTTTGATATTATGCAAGAAGCAATCGCCTGTTATATCAGTGACCTTCTTATAGGGTGTGTTTGTTTGGGGTTTTGAATTTTGAGTTGAGATTTGAATAGTAGAAATTTTGAATTGAAATAGTTGTATGATGTGATATAAATTGATGTTGATATTTTGAATGTAAAATTGATTTTTAGAATAATATAAAATAAAAAATAGGTATTTGATTTGATATTTTTGGTCGAAAAATTTAGTGAATATTAGAAAATTTTAAAAATCTTCCAAACTGTGGTTGAAGTAGATCTTATTGTGTTCATTAAAACTGAAGTCCCATTTAAGAAGTCTGGGCAAAAGATATAACGCTAAATTTTTAGATATGAGTGGATACAAAATTGTGATCAAGATAACAAACGTATTAACTAACCAAGTTAAATAGATTCTGATAGAATTTTCTCTAGCTAAAGATAGAGAATCATGCTTAATCTTTGGGTGAAACTACAAAGACCCAGTTATAAGGAAAATTCAGAAAGATTATGATCATCTCAAAATTAACATTAAGGAGAACAAAGAAGTACAAATCGAGAAGATGTGTCACTTTACTTCTAGTTTTATACTAACTTCTTTAATTAAGGCTAAAACATAGGGATGTTATGTGCTAACAACTATATGGTAGACCGAACAAAAGATGCTACGGATGATGAATATATAAGGAATGACGAAGATCAATGTCTTCGGTTTTTTTCCTAGATGCAGGAGCTAACAAGGAGAATGGCTAGATGTGAGCCAACCTATAAAAAAAATGCTCTAGCTTATGGTCTATCCATTTTGAGTTCAGTTGACTCCCAGAGGTGTGCGGCTGCAGGCAATCGAGTCCCTCGCACCCAAGGTTACTGTTTTCACCTTTACTGGACTCCTAATACACTGGACATGGTGAAGAAGTCTGAATTAGAATTAAAGTCCCGTGTCGCACTTAGAAATTTCTGACCACTGTAGAGCTTCTTCTATCACTTTTTTCTTTTCAACAACTAAACATTGGTCAATTAAAATTTTAGTTTTGTACAACATTTCTACCACACGATCAACCATGACTCTTTTCTTCATGAGTTATAGTTGTTGTGATTCTTTTTGTTGTTGTTATCCAATTATATGAATTTTTGTTTCTTTTCTACTTGAAAATTCTTTTCATATAAGAAGCACACAATTTGGGACTATTTAATACTAACTCGGAAGTGCATAAATAATTATTTCAAAGCAACAAAAAAATATTTACTTTTTCTATCGCCGCTCAGCCGACTCCCATTGGCGAGTGGGTAAGGTATGATGGCGCTTTGTGTCTCTGTTTCACTTCGGAGGAGACGGAAATGTACATGATGGCTAATCCTTACACTTTGATTGGGAGATTTATTGTTGGTTATAGGTCCTGAAATAACATATTTATGAGATTTGCTAGTTTAAAATTGATTGTTGCTTGTTTGTTTTATTATCTTAATCGTCAACATATGGTGATTTGATTATTGTGTGTGGAGGATTATTCACACCTATGAATTAGGGGATTGTAGTTGATACAGAGGTCCCCCTGCAAGTTCTTAAGTGGGCTCCAAATTTTTCAGTGACTGGGTACACACCCATCATTCCGGTGTGAGTATTATTTCTACAGCTTTCACTCCACATGTACCACATAGACTGTTTGTATACGGTGGCATCAGGGTTTGGGACCCCTCTGAGCGTTAATGGTGCGACGGTAAAATGGGAGAGATGCTCGCATGCTTGGGTATGCATTGAGGTGGACTTATCTAGGCTTCTAGTTCACTCTTTTGAGATCGATGTTGAGAGAGGATCAATTGTTATGTAGTGTGTGATTTATGAGCCCCTTTCCTATTTTTGTACATCTTGCTGGAAAAAATGTATAAAAATTTCACAAAAATGTCTAAACCTTAAAAATGTATATGAAATAAATAATAACGCCATAGACAAACCTCAAACTCGTCATCTCCAAAGCAATCTAAATTGAAATTCAAATCGCCCAACTCAAACTCGAAATCACGTAAATTTAAATTGTCCAAACCAAAATCAAATTAAAATTGTCCAAATCCTTATTTCCTAAAAATGGTTGTTTTTTTTTTTTTTTTTTGAATATTTCAAAAAAAATCAAGGTTTGAATGTATGAGAGCAACACACAATTGATTGCGCACAAAAATTTAATGAACGAGAGAGCACTCACGGAATTGGCGATATTGATCGAGCTCCGAGAGTGATGGATGTTGTGTGCGTGAGGGAGATGGGTGAGAGAAAGTGCACCTTTAAAGTCGCCTCGAAATGGTCTCGACTGCACGAGGCAGTTTCCTAAGGTATCATTTTTTAAAATTTTGTAATTTAGATCACTGCACGAGTATAACTTTAGTGGGGTGGAGAAAATGCCTCGTGTTGGAGATGACATCTTCAAAATTTCCTTCACTGTGGTCGCTTTTAGCGGTATCTTCACCAATATTTTGCTTGCTTCTAGTTTTAATTTTTTTTTTTTACAAACTCAAGTTAACTTATTGAATGGTATATTAAATAATTATGAATTAAGATTAAAATAACTAATTAATTTAGTTAAAATTAAAAAATTATAAATTATAAAATTTAAAATACGATTAAATTGTATAATTATTTTTTAAAAAAATAGATAAATTATATGAGACAAACTAAAATTGATAATATGAACAAATTATATGAAAAAAGAAATATTGATTTATTTATTTTCTGAAATTATTTGAAAATATATTTTTCTACGTGAAATATAAAAAATTATGTAAAAAATGGAAAAATAATGAATGATTATAATATATTATATTTTTTTTAAAAAAATTGTTTCACAAAACAAAAAAACCCATATATGTTTGTTACATAATTATTGATTAATTAATTTTTTAAAATACTTATTTTTTACGTTAATTGTATAATGTTTTTTGTTAAGATAAATTCGAAATTAATTTTCAAAAATTAAGAATACATAGCCAAATATACCTTTTTAAAAATATTTATGAAAAAAAATCTTTTATTGTATTTATTATTTCTTCCGTTCTAATTTTTTTTTGGCTTTTATCTATAAGAATTTAAGTAAAGTATAATTAATAAATTATTAAAAAAATATTAATAAAAATAATTATAAATTAATTAAAATAAGTAAATAGATTAATAAAAAAATATATTTTAAAATATAATTTAAAATATAATTAAAAAAATAAAGAACAACTTATAAAAATTGACTGAAATAGAAATATAAATAAATTATGTCGGAAAGTAGTATTTGTAGAAGTATTAATTTTGCACGTGAGCCACTTTGATGGTACGTCGAGTGAACGCCGAAAACGTGCATAAGGAGACACACGCGGAACAGAACTGCGCCTTTCGAAGATCTCAGGAGCCTAACCTCTTCGACATCGCCGAAGAAGTTTCTGTCCACTTTCTCCCACGCCGAATTCTATCCCTTTTGGATTCTGAAGATTCGCTTAGGCCGAAGGAAAGCCCGCAGCAGAAATCCTATTGTAGGTGATTTTTGGGACGGGTGATTTTCAGGACCTATGGCAGCGCTTTCGGTACCCAACCAGTGTAGCTCTTCGTCAACGGCGTATTCCTGTCGTACTTCCACCGGATTTCGTCAATTTCAGAGGCTTATCTCGTTTTCCGAAATTTATCACAAGCTATCGACGAATGTTTCTGTCCAGGTGAAGATCAGCTCGCTTTGCAATGCGATTCCCTTGCGAGGTCGGTTGTGTTTCCCTCCGATCCATATTGTAGTTTGCTCAACTATTTGTTTCTAGCTATATTTTAAATTTGCAATTGGTTGATGTAGTGCGAAAGATTCACCCTGTTTTGTTGTTTCTATGCATTTCTACGAGCTTAGCGAATTTATCGTGTTTATTTGTTTCTTGGATTGCAAGACTTTACCAGCTTGATTAGATTTTTTAAGGTTGTGCTGCATATTTTCAGATATTATGTTTCATGATCAGCTCTTTATAATTTATTGATGTCGTCAGAGTCTTGTTATGGGAAATTCTGAGTTCTTTGCAATCTTAAACATTTCACAGTGCTTAATTGAATTGGTTGCCATTTTCTTCATCTTAATTTCAAGAGTTACCACCAAGTTATGGATTGCTTCGTATTTATTGAAGTGTTTTATGATTTTGAAAATTCAGTGCAAGTGCTGCTGCATACTTTGAATTTGTTTGTGCACTTTTGCATACTGTGAAAGTTGACTAAGGTAGATTCATAATTCTTTTTGTCAAATTTGAAATGCATATGAATTCAGGCGATTCAGCCACTAAAACGGCGGCAGTCAAAACTCCGGAGACAACTTTGAAAGATAGTTTGTTGTCAGTGGTCCCTACAGAGAGACAAAACATGGCAATTGATTCGAATAAAAATGGCGATGAATCTACTGTCAGCATAACTGTTGTTGGGGCCTCTGGGGACCTTGCTAAGAAGAAGATATTTCCTGCTCTTTTTGCCCTTTTCTACGAGGATTGCCTTCCTAAGGTCTGCTTGTTAAAAATTATTTGTATGAATACGCACAGCACTGTACTGTGTAGAGGAACTTTTTGCTGCATGATTTCAACTGGAATTTATTGATATTAACTCTTTTATTCGGTTTCAGCACTTTACTATCTTTGGATATGCCCGTAGTAAGATGACTGATGCAGAGCTACGAGACATGGTTAGCCGGACTCTTACATGCCGAATTGACAAAAGGTATTTTGCCTCATATTCTTTTCCTTTATTTCAAATGTCTAATGTCTTGGAAATTTATTGCACTTATCTGTGTAGTGATTCTTCTTGAGAAATGCTTATAATGGTTTCGCTTGTTATTTAGTGCAAACTGTGGTGAAAAGATGGAACAGTTCTTAAAGAGATGTTTCTACCATTCTGGTCAATATGATTCCCAGGAACACTTTGCGGAACTTGATAAAAAACTCAAAGCACATGAGGTAGATACTCTTTGGAAAAGAGCCTTACTTTCGATCTTTTGAGTTCGATGGAATTTAATTATTTATCACTAAATCACTCTTTCTTGACTCAAGATTACTTTTTAACCCTCCCTTTCTGCATTTATGTTGCAACCATGAACCACTCCATGTTTAAAGTGAAATACAAGGGTATAAATACATATTACATACACTGATGCTGTAATCTTGAACTTGTACCTTAAGCCAAAATATCTTCTGACCAGTTGTAATGTATGGACATTCCTTGGATATCTGTATAGATTGATAGATTGCTATATAGAAATATTCCTACTAATATCAGAGAGAATCTACTACAAAGACACAATGTGCTAGCATTTCCTTGAGGGCCAAATTGAATCTGTATTTTGTAATCTATTTAGGTGATAACATGCAAGTAGTTTATTTAAGAAAGATTGTGAAAACAGTTGATGCACTGTATTTATAGTTTGTGATTGGAGATCCTTGTTAAAGTTTTAAAATTTTCTTGTGGTATTAATGCTATAAAGATGGTTGGTTTCTGTAGGCTGGAAGGGTATCGAACCGACTTTTTTACTTATCAATCCCACCAAACATCTTCACAGATGCTGTGAAGTGTGCAAGTGTCTCTGCTTCTGCAGCTCAGGGATGGACTAGGGTCATTGTTGAGAAACCTTTTGGCCGAGATTCTGAATCCTCTGCTGCTTTGACTTCTGCGTTGAAGAAATTTTTAACGGAAGATCAAATTTTTAGGTAAGTTACTTTTCTCTGGAAGTAATTGTGACAATTGTCAATAATTCCCATTACAGTCACGGAATCATTATTCATCCATCATGATGTTCGCCTTGCAGGATAGATCATTATTTAGGAAAGGAGCTAGTCGAGAACCTTTCTGTCCTTCGCTTCTCTAACCTTATTTTCGAACCATTATGGTCGAGACAATACATAAGAAATGTTCAATTGATATTCTCGGAAGACTTTGGAACTGAAGGAAGAGGAGGGTAATTTATCTTTCAAGTTGTCTTTCAGAAGCCCTTCTTCTCATAACTTTTGCTGATGAATTGTTTTCGTGTCTTGTACTAGTTACTTTGATCATTACGGAATAATCAGAGATATAATGCAAAATCACCTGCTTCAAATTCTGGCCTTATTTGCCATGGAAACGCCCGTCAGTTTGGATGGAGAAGATATCCGAAACGAAAAGGTATTTCCATTTTCGCCTCCAAAGTGATCTAACTAAACCATCTGTGCATTAATCCTCAAATATTCTGAATATTCATCGATGAACAGGTTAAAGTTCTGCGGTCTATGAGGCCTTTGCACATTGATGATGTGGTCATAGGACAATACAAAAGTCATACGAAAGGAGGTGTCTCTTACCCCGGGTATACGGACGACAAAACAGTACCTAAAGGTAGTCTAACTCCAACATTTGCTGCTGCAGCACTTTTCATAGACAACCCCAGGTGGGATGGGGTGCCTTTTCTTATGAAAGCTGGGAAAGCTTTAGATGATAGGAGGTCAGCAAAATTCAATTTTATTTTTTTTTCCGACTATGTAATGAATTTCTTATGAACCACTTATCTGATGCATTGCTTTTACTTTTCTTTGTACTCATCAGAGCCGAAATACGGGTGCAATTTAGACATGTACCCGGTAATTTATACAACCGGCAATTCGGTTCTGATCTTGATCAAGCATCAAATGAGCTTGTAATTCGCGTTCAACCCAATGAAGAGATATATCTTAAGATTAACAACAAGGTCCCCGGCTTGGGTATGAGATTGGATCGAAGTAATCTTAATCTTCTATATAAAACAAGGTAATTAATTGATTATTTACTGATATCATTGTACACTTGCGCTTGCATTTCTATGCATTTGTCTACATAATTTGGTAATCATAATCATGAGAATGTGCAATGCAATGCAATGATGTTGATTTTGCAGGTACTCGAAAGAGATACCCGATGCATACGAGAGGCTTCTTCTAGACGCGGTTGAAGGCGAGAGGAGACTTTTCATAAGGAGCGACGAATTAGATGCAGCTTGGAAGCTCTTCACTCCTGTGTTGAAGGAGCTGGACGAAAAGAAAATAGTCCCCGAATACTACCCTTTTGGAAGCCGGGGTCCTGTCGGGGCACACTATCTTGCAGCCAAATACAACGTCAAATGGGGAGATCGCAGCTTCGATGAATAATCTAATGTGTTTTTTTCTTCGAGCCACCCTTGGAGCTGTTTCTGTTTCTGTTTCGTCTCGACAACTTTGTTGAACCGAGCAGACTCGCCGGGCAATCGGAAACACAAGTTCTAATGCAGCAGCAGCAACGGTGCGTTTCATTTAATTTTGTTGAACAATATATCTATAATTATAAATTAGCGTATATAGTAATTGAAATTATGAATCACTAATTGGACCATTGCATCCGCCAAGAGAGTGTAGCGCTCAAGCGATGGAATTCTTTCTTGGCATGCTCAAGGTTAAGAGTTTAATCGGCATGGGGTCTTTTATTTGACAAGGTGCAATATTTCCTGATTATTGCACCAAATTTTGCCAACGAAGATCTTTTATTTAACTAGTTTAAATTAATTATAAATAAATAAATAAATATTATTTATATTATTATATAAAATTTTATTATTTACAAAATAATATCAAAGAAAATCTCCAACATTAATAAAATACTCCTTCCATTCTATTTTTAATTATACATTTGAATAAAAAACAGTAATTATGATACTATTTTATTATTTTTTATATAAAAATTAATGTAAATAATTTTAAAATAAAAAATAATATATTTAGTATTTACATGCAAAATAGTACTCCCTCCGTCCTAAAAGTATAGTCTTATTGTGTTAGGTACGAGATTTAAGGAATATTAATATTATATTGGTAGTTGGTAAAAAGTAAGAATAAAATTTTTATATACTCCCTCCGTCTCAGAACTATAGTCTAGTTTATGTTTGGCACGAGATTTAAGAAATATTAATATTATATTGGTAGTAGGTAAAAAGTATGGGTAAAAGAATTTTTTGCTAACGGTCAGATGGTTCCTTCTCGAGCATCTTTCCGTCGGTCTAGCGATTCTTCGACTCCATCGAGAGCTTGCAAGTACAACCTTGCACACATCTCTAACGCACGCTAAAGTAAGAACATTATAAGATGCACTCGGCAAAGTAGAGTGTTCTATTAACTCTCAAAACTGAAGTGAAGTACAAGTGGTGTATTAGTGTAAAAGTAGTGACAATTGTGTAATAATAATGAAAAAGTAAGGGTAATTTTACAATGATATGATTATAAGGGTAATTTTACAGTGATATGATTATTTATAGAAATGAGACTATTATTTTGAAACTAACAAAAATGATAAATAGGATATTGTATTAGGAGGAAGGGGGGGAAAATCTTATCATTAAATTAATATAAATAATGATGCTGTAATAATAACTAGTATGTAGGATTTTTCTTTTTTCTTTTTTTTTTTAAATTAGAATTACTAAAAACATAAATAAATTAATTTCGGATAGATTAAAATATAAAAAACAATATACTCCTTCGGTCCTATAAATATAGTTGTAATTGGGTTGGACACGAGATTTAAAGAATATTGATATTATATTGGTAGTAGGTAAAAAAGTATGGATAAAAGACTTTTTTGCCCTTGTGAGCGTATTAGTGTAAAAAGTAATGACAATTGTGTAATAATAATGAAAAAGTAAATGTAGTTTTATGATGATATAGTTATTTATTAAAATAAGACTATTGTTTTAAAATGATAAAAATTGTAAACAAGACTATTTAATCGAAAAGAGTATATATTTTTTGATTCGGTGCCGAGGAGTAAAATGTTTGCATGGTGGGAAGCTTGCATTAATTACCAACTGCCCCTAATAACGTACCTGAAATTTGCCACTAATTATTTATTTTAATTTCTTTTAAGTGTGCTTTTGTTCTTACTTTTAAATAAAACAAAATTAAATTAAATATAATATAGTATTTTTAATTTATTTCTCTATATACCGCTACCTATGATATTTTTCTTCTTTAGTTCGTTTTAAGTAAGATGATTATTTTTATTTTTAATAATTTTAAATATATTTAATAAATATAAATTAATTTATTAAAATTTAAAATGTTACATAGGAGAGATATTCAAAATTCTTTTATTTATTTCTCTCCTTAATAAATAAGATATTTTTATCTATTTTTTAAATTTTTTATTTTTTATAAAATTAGTTTAAATTAATTATATTTTATATTATATAAAATTTTATTCTTTATAAAATAATATTCATAATATATATATATATATCTAAATATTTATTTTCAATTTTTTAATTATATATATTAATTTTTATTTTAAAAAATAATAACTAACTTTATTTATATAATAAATAATAGTATTATAATTAGGGAGGGAGTATTGTATTGCTCAAAGATAAATAACAAAAAGATAAAGAAATGGTTATTATTCATATTTGAAAATTTATTAAATATGGGTGGGGCCCACATGTCGTGAAGCTGGGCAGCAATTGCGATGATCACGCTTACCTACCCCTTTCAATCAAACATATATATATTTATATAAATAATTTCAAAATTATTTTAATTTTGATCCGTTCATATTACTATTGTGTCCGTGACTGAAAGAACGAATATGAAATTGTTTTCTCACTCTTTATTATGAAATTTATTTTAAAAATATTATATTCGATGGCGTTTGTTTTTTGCACGTAGATTTTTGAATATTAGTATTAATAGTGAATTGTAGTAAAAAAAACAAAAATACCCTATTAATACAGTGTAATATAAAAGTAAACATTTGTGTAATATATTGTAAGTTGAAAGGATATTTATTATGTTAAGTAGGTAGTACAATTACTAAATTAGAAAATAATAACCTTGTTTTGAGACGAACGAAAATGAAAAATGATAAATTTTCAATGAGAATGAGAGAGTACTACTTAGTATTGTTATGTTTGATGATTTTGTAAGAAGAATTTTCTGTCATATTTATAGAAGATTAACTTTGTGTTCTTTGTTTTATTTTATTCTCCCATTTAACCTAACCTCCATTCTAAAAAGAAAGAATATGTATTTTGTGTGTTTTTCTTGCTATTTATAGAGAATATATTGTTGTTACTTGTTATGCTTCAGGTACTTAAACTCATTAACTCTATTATTGTTAATTTATTTTTTTTTATTAATATTTGTATTTATTTTCTCGAGAGTGTAAAAAGTATTATGAAACCAATGTTATAACAGTCTTCAGTCTTCACCTTTTGAATGATTTTCGGGTGCCTTGGATTGAACTGTCTGTCAATAAATGTTGCAACCGTGTGTTTGATTTCAAAACTACACATTGTTTTCGAAATTTAAACACTATTTTTTGAAACTAAAAGTATGGCTGGTCAATCCTTATAACATCTATCCTTTGATGGTAAAATGAATTTTTTCTATTTTTTTTTTTTTAAATGAGAAATATTTTAGTAATACAAAGATTAATTAGGTCATTGGAATCGGATCATACCGCTCTAGTTTCTCTCAAAATGAGGAGTAATTTGGATTAAATGATTTTATTTAGTATAATTCTAAATTTAGCTAATCATGTTCGTAAAATTGGTATTTGGCATCATGGAATAAATTGAATACTATACACTCAAATGTCTCTTCCTAGTATTACTTACATTTTAGAATTTTTTTTCAATTAAAAATTTGAACTTTAAAAATCAATAGATGAAAATTTCTATATTTTAAAAGATTTATACAAGACATAAAAGGTTACTGGTGATAAAAAAATATAATGATTATAGTATTGTAGTTTTGTTAAATGTCATACATAACATATATTTTGATATAAAATCTTCTATAAAATATAAGTTTGATAATATGATATTAGATATCATTATTAATGATTTAAAAAACAAAAAATTAGATTTACAAATTAATAAATCTAATCAATCTTCGGGGAATGTTATGTTCATGAGGGGTAGATTTTCTTTTAGATCTTATTATGAATGATTTATGCATTTTGGTTGCGCATATCATATTACTTCTTTAAATTTTTTTTTTTTTTTTTTTTTTTGTGAATACAAAGTGTTAAATTGTATTGTTTCCAGACTAATAGTAGTATTTTGAATGCGCTTAGAATTTGTAGTATTAATTTAAAAGTTAATACTCCTAAGTTTGTATCAAAATTGAACAATGTATGACACGTTCCAAATTTGTCAAATAACTTGTTATTTTGTGTCGCTCTAGTTGATTAGGATTAGAGGGTAAACGGAGGTCCTATTATATGACAAGTACAAAATGATCTTTAGTTGTTTTTAAAACTGAAATTTGTAATAATATTTATGTGATTTCGGATGAACCCATGAATACGTGTGAAAATTTTGTAAATTCTGTTAGTGATGATTGCGAATTGTGGCATAAGAAATTAAGACACATTAGCAATAAGAGCTTAGAGATTTTGCATAAAATTCATTATTTTGGTAATGTAAAATTTAATGATGTGATCTTTTGTGATAATTGTGTATATGATACTATTTCCCATATTCCCTAGTAAAAAATATGATCAGTCCAAAAATATGTTAAACTATTTTCATTCTGATTTACGTGGGGCCCACCATAAAAGTGAACCTATACATGGTGGATCTAAGTGTTTTTTATCTATAATTAATGATTTTTCAATAAAGATTTAGATTTTCTTAACGAAAAATAAATTTGATATTTTTGAGATTTTTAAAAAATAAAAAATTCAAGTTGATAATGAAATTTGTAGAAAAATTAAATATTTGAGAGCTTGTAATGATTTAGAATTTTGTAGTACCTGGTTTTGATAATTTTGGTATTCAAAATTATATCAAATGACATAAATTATAATGAAATTTGTAGAAAAGTTATGCATTTGTATTTGCATTTCTATGCATTTTATTAGTCTCTTATAATACAAATACAATAACATTTGTGGAATAAATTATACAAATATAAAAATATTTTAATGTTAAGTATAATGATATAAAAGACAAATGATATCCTTCTTATTGAACGGAGGTAGTATTTTTTTTTTATTTATTTTTTTGTATTTTAACCGATTACGTCAAGTAGAGTCCATCATGAGTTGCGCGTAACCCAAAAGACTCCATCAGACTTTGCACCTTCCATTACTTCTTTTGTGCAAATCATTTTTCTCACAAATCCGCAAATCCTTCTTTTGTGCAGATTTTTCTTTGCGTATACGGACGCCTCTCCTCATCTGAATTTATACACTCATATGACACAAAAAATGCATTTATTGAATACCGCCCTTTATTTCAAACCACCGGTTTTCACCCAAAAAAATATAGTTATGCAGTTGTTAAGGGTTATAAATTTTGGCTTAGTTTTATATCCGATTTCAAATTAGTAGGAATATGACATTTAACAAGAAAGAAGTCATGTTTGAAAATTACAATTTTTAATTTAGCTAGTTCTGAAACTAATAAAAAAAATCGGATTTGAGTAGTACTCCCAAAAAATGGAATACAATTTAACAAGTATTGAAGAGATAGAAAATACTGAAAATATATCCGA